CAGTAATGCTGGTGACATTCTTGTCACCACCTAAGACTGGGCTGCTCACTTCAAGTGGGCAGAACCCACATGCTGTAAGCTTTCCACGGTGCACAGCACAGCCCCAGCCATGAAGTGTGTTTTCCTGTGTCCTGTGCTGCACTGGCAACCCTCTGTGTCCCCACCTCACTGCTGTAGTCTACACAGTACATCCTGCAAGGATGGAGGATCAAGGCAGTAGGCAGTGTTGGCATCACCCAGAAGTAGGCAATCTGTGGCAAAGTATGGCTAAAGCCTGGCTGTGCTAGTGCTCCAGGATGTCAAATTCACCTACACTCTGAACATGTCACTTACGGGCCCCACCAGGAAAGGCCATATCTGTAAAGTAACTTATTGCCTGATTTAAATGTTGTCTCGGAGGCTTACTGCTTCCCTGTGCTAACCTAAGCCTAGTCCTGGAAGCTTCTAGCCTCCGCACAATCTAATTTAGGCCTAGAATGCTTTCAGACTCTGTAACTTACTGTTGAATAAGATCAACAATTCTTGTTCTTTCTGAACTCTGGCTGGCTGGTTTAACTCAGGTGTTCTGGCTAAACCTCCTCTCCAAGTTGACTGATTCAATCTGGCTTCTGTCAGCTTCTCACTAAATTACTCTCCTTGGCCTCAAACTAACTGTTCTAATCTTCTAGCTCCTTCTCATTCTCTGGCTCGTTCTGAGTCTGGCTTATTCTCTCTTCAACCTGTCTCTATAAAACTCTCTCAGTAAAAACTGCCTCTGAATTCCATGAACTCAGCTGCTATGAACTCTATTCTATTGCACTCCTCTCAACTGATTCACTCAACCAAACTGTCTGAACAGAACTGACTAGGACTCAGAAATCTGCATGCCCCTGTCCCCTGAGTGCTGGGATTAAAAGCATGTAGCACCTGGACTTAAGCTTTTCTTTCCCTGAAACTTGATCTGTACCAAGTTGGCCTTGAACTCAGAGATCTTCGTCTCTTGGGATTAAAGGATTGTCTGTATCCCAGCCAGAGTAGTCATGTAGCTACATTAAAATTCCTCTTCAGGGCAGGCTTTGGTGTCACATACCTTTAATCCCAGCACACGAGAGGCAGGAGAATCTCTGTGAGTTCAAGGTCAGTCTGGACTACAGAGTGAGTTTCAGGACAGTCATGGCTAAAACAGAGAAACCCTGTCTCCAAAAACAAAACAAGCAAACAAACAAAAAATTCCTCTACACATGTCTTTGTCATTCTCAGTGCCCGCAGAGGGACTGTTAGAGAATGTGCAGGAAAAGAATGGAGTATCTGGGTGGGCTACAGGGAAGATCCTTTTTGGGCAGCTCTTGTTCCAGGACTGACTGAGCAAGGTGGCATGGCCATTATGGAGGAGCACTTTTCCAGAGCTGCTCCATTTCTCTTCAAGAAAGGTTCTTCGCTTTTGCCTTTCTTGTGTAGACCCTTTTGACCTCCCCATCTCCTTAGACCTTAACTCTTGCTTCCTCTTGCATATGACTCTTGGCAGACCTTAAACTGTTTACCCACATACTCATAATCTGCTTAGCATCCAGGCCTCAGCCCATCCTGTCCCCCTTCTGCAGATCCAGGTCTCGGCCCAGCTCAGCTATTCTCTCAGCTGTGGCTTCCTTCCTATGGGCCTTGTCCTGCCAGCACCAGACACAGCCAGTCTTTCCATGCAAGAAGCAGCTGCTCCTGCCTCCTGCACTTTCTCCTTATTCTCCAGATATCTCCATGAGGCTGCTGATGCTCCTAGTCCCCTGCCTCATCTTAGCTCTAGTCAGCTTCTCCCATGCTGCTCAGGGGGACTAGCCTCACCCCGCCATGATGCTGTGCTGCAGCTGTCCATCTGTCCTGGAAGACCCCTGTGAGGCCACACTCCCCTCCCAGTCTTACACTTGGTTTTGTAATGTGCACAGTTTGTCTCCCTGCTGGGCGTGCAGCAGCCTCGGAGCCATTTCTGATGTCTTTCTACCTGTTGTTCGTCAAGGTCTTTGTGTGTGAGGTCCTGGATTGGGCACTGTAGACAGGGGAAGTGGAGGCCATAACATGGGAACTTGGTGTGTAGAGCAAGGAGCACTCTCTGGGAGCATCCTTGAGGACTTGCACTAAATCCTAGGGTTTTTTAATTTTATCATTATTTTAAAGTTACATGTATGGATGTGCGCATGCATGCACGTGCGCTTGTGCGTGTGTAAATGGAGGTGCTCTTGGAGGCCAAAGGCATTGGATCGCCAGAAGCTGGAATTCCAGGCTGTGTGAGCTGCTTAATGTGGGTTCTAGGAACTGAACCATGTCCCTTAGCTGTGGAGCCGCCTCTCCAGCTTTTGTAGGAGCATGGAAGGAAAGCCACGCAGATAGGTTTTGACTTGGGGTAGGGGCTCCGTGGAAAAGGAGTTAGAGATGGAGCTTTGTGTTTAAACTTTGTACTGTATTCATTTATTTGTGTGTATGTGTGTGCATACATGTTCACGGATGTTATAGCACATATGTGGAGTTCAGAGGACAACTTTTGGAGTCCTCTCCTTCCACCATTTGGGTGCGGAGGATTAAACTCCAGTTGTCAAGCTCGGGGACGAGCGCTTCTACCCCTGACCCACCTCTCCCACCTGTACGTGGCCTTTGCATGTGTTTGTGCGGATTGTAGGAATGAGAGGCCCTTTGCTGGCTGCTGGTCACAGTGGCGAGTGCCAGGCAGCTACTTACAAAGGAGAATGTTCACTTCGCCCACGAAGTTCTGCGGAGGGCAGGGCGGCAGGTGGCAGCGGCAAGACTGTGCGCAACTACACAGGACTTCCTATTGGGCTCCAGCTTTAAAGGTCCACGTCACTTCTGTACCAGCACCCTAGGGATCAAGACCAAACCATAACAGACGTCAGGAAAAGACATTCTGAGCTCAGAGCCACAGACTGTGGGAAGGGCACCAGGACCCCACCCTCAGGCTGCTGCTCTAGGCAGTCTCAGTCTGGAACAAGCTATCCAAGTATTCTTGGGCTGCTAAAACAGGCCTCTGCTGCTTAGCAAACATGCCTTCAAGGACGACAACAGATAAGTCTGGAACTTGTGTTGGTGTGGCTAGCCTCCATGGCCCTGTGTGGTGAGGGGAGGGCTTAGGCATTTCTTATCTTCAGGGTGGAGCTTGCTGTCCTTCAGGGTGTGTGCGTGGAGGGAGGATATGCACATGTGTGCAAACATACTTGTCTGTGCATGTGGATGTATGGAGGCCAGAGGTTGACGATGTGTGTCTTCCTCTATTACTTTCCACCTTGGTTTTTTGTGGCGGGGTCTCTCACTGAACCAATAGCTCATTGTTTCTGATAGGGTAGCTGACCAGTGAGCTCCAGGGATCCCGCTGTGCCTATCTCCACCCCTGCCCCCCACCAGAAGTGGAGGTACAGGTTCCACACACAGCTTTTACATGGGTTCTGGGGAATCTGAACTGATGTCTTCAGGCTCAGGCAGAAGATAGTTTACCCAATGAGCCAGTGGTTCTCAGCCTGTGGGTGGCAACCCCTTTGGTGGTTGAATGACCCTAAGACCATCGGAAAACAGATATTTATATTACAATTCATAGCAATAGCAGACTGCTATGAAGTAGCAAGGAAAATAATTTTATGGTTGGTGTCACCACCACATGAGGACCTGTATTAAAGGGTAACGGCATTAGGAAGGTTGAGAACCACTGCAGTGAGCCATGTCTTCAGCCCCAGTGATGTTCATTTGAAAGTAAATCTGTTCAGAGACAAGGTCCACTGTTTGGAACAGACAGGGTGCGGCAAGCATGCTGTTGTCTGTCTTGCCTTCACTGTTGTAGACACTGGCTGTCATTTCTGGAGAGCAGTAGCAGGAAACCACAGTGTGTCATGTCAGCTCTACACAGAGAGCTCCCCAGCAGGCCCAGAGTCCACATGAGCTCCACAGAAGCCCGCAGGTGAGGATCCATTGAGCCTGTGTGGATGACAAGGGACAGGTGGCTCTGCTGTGTGTTCCCTCGGTCTTCTCTACTCTAGGAATATCTCACTGGCCATGCTGTAGCTGTCTGCAAGGCGGTTGGTCCTGATGACTCCTTTTAGTGGGAGCCCAAAATGGATGTAGAGGAAGTCGGGATGATCGTTCCTAGGCTCTGCGAAGGCATGTGTATGTGGCTGCAGGGTAGTAAGCCTGTGAGAGCTCTGTCACAGGAGGTGTACAGCTCTCTTCTCCCCTGTTGCCTCTCTCTGTTCAGAGGTTGTAGGAGCAGATGTTCCCACATCTTACAGGTCTGGAGGGCAAACATCAGGATCAGTGCCCAGGAAAAGGCATGGCAGTGTCTTTGCTCATAGCCCCTCCTCTGTACAAGCCACAGTGAGCTTCATATCTGTCTGGCTTTAGACTTCAGCTTCCATTGTCTCATTGCTTCCCCCTTGTACCATCCCACCTCCCTCTTGAGGAGCTTTCTGCTGACATTGGCTATCTTGACCATCAAGGATGCTTCTCTCTGAGACCTTGACTTAGTAACATCTGCAGAATTCATTTGCCAAGCAAGGTGTCATAGTCACGTGTCCCAGGGATTAAGATGTGACCATTTTTGTGGCAGTCACTACCTAGCCTACCACATTATGGCAACATTTTAGAAGTCAACCCAGCAGATGGCTTACAGTTGCAATCTCAGCACTTGAGGCTGAGGCAGAAGGATCACCACTAGTTGGAGATCAGCCTTTGTTATGCAGTGTGTTCAAGTCCAGGCTGAGCTGTGGAGTAAGACTGTGCCTAAACAAACCACAACAAAAGAAATCAAAGGTCCTCAGGGGGCATAGGTAGTCAGGTGCCTGTGACTCTCGAAGTCTAGGACTGCTGAGGAAGGGACGGAAGCCTCGACCCTCAGCAGCTCCAGTAAAAGGGGTGAGAACAACTCTGCCCCAAAGCAAAACAATCTGTGTTGCCTTCATTTCAGTTGTGCTGCATTGATGGTCATTAAATAATCCATTTTACATTTTCTTTCTTTTTTTATTTTTTGCAAACAGATAGCCAGCAAGAGAAACAGCCTTGTGGCTGTCCAGTCTTCGACCTCCGCTAAAATCAAAGTGCCAGTCCCTCAGCCTGTCGTCGTCCCTGTGAAGAAGGATAAACGGCAGAATTCTTCACGCTTTAATGCCAGCAATAACAGAGAACTGCAGAAACTCCCGTCTCTGAAAGGTAATGCTCACATGTCTTTACAGAGTGGAAAGCTTGTCACTGTAGAACTGCTGTTTCAGAGCCTTGCTGGCTATGCGCTCATCAGGTTTTTTTTTTTTTTTTTCCTGGTTCACTCTTTGGTTAGATTGAATGCCATGTACTTTACTGCACTAATATTTTTAATTCCAGAGCTTTGGGGGATGAAAGTATAATAGCTAACATGTCACAAAGTACACTACACTAAGATGATAAGGAAAACTTAAAATCTTACCAGCTGTAGGTGAGCAGCTGTTTTTCTTCCACATGGTTCCTGGCTTGTCTCAGAACATTAGAAGGGGTCACTGCAGGTAATCATGGAAGGCCAGGTGGAGCTTGCTCCTCCTAGCCATGGAGAACCAGCTCAGTACCTTCCACACCCTTCCCTGCCACCAGGATCCCTTACCTGTGACCAGCCAGGGCATAGGACTCTTCACGTGGAACTTCCAATGTCACAGCCACCTTTTTCTATCAGAAAAAGTTTTTCTTAATGTCTTAAGTTTTTCTTCCAGAGAGCTCAGTGTTGAGATACTTGACAAGGAAATCTTTGGGTCAAGGACCATAGTCAGATGTGAACCTCTGGTGCGCTTTACATATTCTGAGGTCTAAAACCAGAACAGGAAGCAGCAGAACTCATGTAGGTGTGGCTGGGAGAGGGGAGGGTGAAGGCTTTCTTTCCCTTCTTCTGCTAGCAGGTAGATGGACCACCTCTGGAAGTAGGGAGTATTCTAGCTAAGGGTCATAGCACCAAGCAAAGGTGAATCCCCACTCTTGAGGACTCCACATCTGGGTGCTGAGACAATGAGAAAATGTATGTGACCCCTTCTTATATTACCCCAGGAGGCCAAATCAGAGAGGTATGGTGCTTGATCTGAGAAGGGCTCAGAATACCAGTGGAGCCTTCCTTCCCATGTCCCAGCTGGTGCCAGGTGCATGTCATAAAGACATGTTAGGTTGTGCCCTGCCCACTTTGCACAGGTCAAAGTCCACCCAGGAACGGCGTAGCATGGGCTAGAGTGTGATGTCCATCTTGGAAGCCTTACCTGTTTCAAGGAATCTGTGTGCAAGGCTCCTCTTGGCCACTGTGCTGCCTCTGCCTGCTGTTCTCCACCTTTTCTCCTTCCACCAGTTCTTTTTCCATGGCATTCTCTTACCAGATCCAGGACGTGTACAAGCACTTGGTCTTTCCCAAAGAGTCCTGGCTTTCTGTATAGTTCTCTCCTACCGTCACCTTATGACAAGGCTTGATATGTCTAGATTTCAGAATCCTCAAACATGGGTGACCTCTGTGCCCATGAAGCAGGCTCAGCTGGAGCAAGCATCTTGTCATAATCTGTGTCTTCCTCTCATAGCGGCTCCATGAAGTATCACTCTGTAGTAGTCGCGTGGGGCTTCTGAGTGGCTCTCTTCCTCTCTTCCATCTCTGCCGTAGACAGGTCCCCCTCTTTTGACTGTTTGTGTTCAGTATCCCTTAATCTCTACTTTATGCTAATTATCCTATTTTTAACCCTTTTTCTTATTAAGTCAAATACTGAATTCTCAGTTTTAGTTTAATAACAATATAAAGCCATGTGCTCTTCTGAGAATAACTTCAGCTCTACCCTTAGGTTTCTAACTTCAGTTTAGATATTTTTCCTTTTTTTAAAATTGTATTGAGACACAATCCACATACCCTGAGATCATCTACCATTAGTGGAAGTTTAATTCTTTAATAAATGTATATAGGTGAACAACCATCTCATGCTCAAGTTTTAAAATGTTTCCACTGTCTTCCAGTTACTTTGTGTCCAGTTACTATAAAATCCTTTTCTCCCTTTTATCTATTGCTAACTGCTGATCTGCATTCTCTGTATATTTGACACTGTGTATGATCTTTCCTTTTTGTAACCTCCTCTCATTTTATGTGCTGTGTACCACCTGTATGTAGTTCCGGATGAGGCCAGAAGAGGGAATCAGATTCCCTGGGACTACACTTAGAGGTGGGTAGGAGTCTGACTCAGGACCTTTACAGGAGCAGCCGAGTGCTCTTTCCCACTAAGCCATCTCTCCAGCCCCATGTGGATTTTTTTTAAGTGATTGATCCTTTTATTTGCCAGTTTCTAAAGCAATAAGTCAGCCTCAGCTCCTCTGAAGGGTCAAGAATATTTTGGTTTGTTCACTTGCTTTGTTTTGTTTTTAATTGACACATAATAATTATAATATTTATTGAGTATGGTGTCTGTGGATTGATTTGCAGGTTTTTGATTCAGTCTCATTAGTCTGTGGGTCAGTTTTACACCAGGACTGTGCTACAGTCTTCAAATATAGTCTATATTTGAAGTCAGGTTCTTTGATTCTTCTGGATTTGTTATTTTTGCTCACAGTACCCAGGGTGAGTCTTAGAGCACATTTCATTGGTGGAGTCTCGTCTAGAACACAGAAGGTACTCCAGTTGATCCTCAGCACCTCGAGGATACCCTGTGGTTTTGGACAGGTTTTGGGCAGGTTTTGGGCTTGTTTTTCTATTTCTAGTCTGTCATTTAGTATTTTGGTAGGAACTATATTGAATTAGTCAGGGTACTTAGGTAGTTTGGGTGTTTGTGTAATGTCTGTGGACCTGGGATCATGGTCTTCCATCTTGGGTATCCCCTTCAGCTTGTTTCATCAGTGCTTTGTAATTTTTCTTGCAGAGTTCTGTCATTTCCCTACCTCAGTGTCCCCCAAGTACATATTGTTTATATGTTTCAGATGGGGTTGTTTTCTTTATTTTTCTGCAAATTTGTTGTCAATACATAGAAATGATCCTAGATGTTTTGTTTGATTACTTGCTTTTGTTTTTGAGGTAGGTTCAATGTGTTTCCCAAGTTTGAACTTGATACCTCCCAGGAAGCTGGGTCTACATGTACATGCCATCATGCCCAGCTCATGCTGACTTCCCTTTTTCTTTTGACTGGACCATGATTGAACCAAGGACTTTACGCATCATAGGAAAGTGCTCTGCCATTGGGCTACCCAGCCTCTTTTTACTTCATTATTTTGCAACACGAACTCACTAATTTGGCCGCGCTGTGCTTACTCTTACTGCAGACAGGCCTGGAACTTGTTAGCAACTTACTGTAGCCTCCTACATAGCTGGGATTATGGTTTACAGTGCCAGGCCTAACTTACACTTATTTTTTAAGTGTTGATTTTGTGCTTGGCAACATTACTAAATTCTTATATATCAATTTTTTTCTTTTACTGGTTTTGGAACCTTTAAGCTTTCCTTTATAGGAACTGGAAAGATGGCTCAGTGGTTGAGAGAGAGCACTGACTGCTTGCTCTTCCAGAGGACCAGCTTCAGAGGACCCTACCTCACACATGGCACTACACACCAGTTTCAGGGGATCTGTCTTGGTCATTGATCTGTGGCTGTGGAGACGCCATGACCCCGGCAGCTTGTAGAAAATCGTACAATACACACACACCTAAATTTTTAAAATTTAATTTAAAAAAGTGAGTCAAGCAGGGCAGTGGTGGTACACGCCTTTAATCCCAGCATGCAGGAGGCAGAGGTGAATCTCTGTGAGTTTAAGGCCAGCCTGGACTACAGATCAAGTTCCATGACAGCCAGGGCTACACAGAGAAACCCTGTCTCGGAGGGAAAAAAAGAAAGTTAGAGCTTTCTGTATAATAAGATCACATTATCTCTCACATCTTCCAGATTGGTTGTCCTTTGTTTCTTTCTCTTGTTTAATCGTTCTGTCTACTTCTGTCTAGGACCTCTATTACTGTATTAAATAAAAGTGCAAAAGCATAGCTGCATGTGGTGATGCATGCCTTTAACCTCAGCGTTTGGGAGGCAGAAGCAGGTGGATCTTTGTCAGTTCAAAGGCAGCCTGGTCTGCAAATCCTGAATCCAGGACAGCCAAGGCTCTGCTACACAGAGAAACCCTGTCTTGACAAACAAAACAAACAAACAGACTGCAAAAGTGGACATCATTGTCTTGCTCCATGTATTAGGGGAAATGCTTTCAACTTTTTCCCATTCAGTGTATGTAGCCTTTGTTGTGACCTCTGTCTCTTCTGTGCTTGTGTGCTGAGTGTCTATTTCTCTGATGCACTAATTAAATTACATAATTAAAAGTATGTAGACCAGGCTGGCCTCACAGGGACCCACCTGCCTCTGACTCCTGAGGGCTGGGATTACTATCACAGAAAGCCGTGTGTTCTTCCTGTATCTGATACTGAGATGATCATGCATCTTTTCTATCCATCGTTCTGCTAATATGCTATGTTTACAGGTCTGTATACCATTCAAATCATTCTTGTCTCTCTGTTGTTATATCTCATACATTTTGGCATGTTGTGTTTCCATTTTTTTTTGTTTGTAAGATTTATTTTTTATGAATGCTCTATCTGTATGTACACCTGCATGTGAGAAGAGGGCATCAGATCCCATTATAAATGGTTGTGAACTACCATGTTGCTGGGAATTAAACTTGGAACCCTGGAAAAGAAGCCAGTTCTCTTAACCACTAAGCCATCTCTTTAACTTCCTCCATTTTCATTATTTAGTGTATTTATTGTTATTTTATGTGTATGAATGTTTACCTGCATGCATCTAAGTATATCACATGCGTGCATTGCCTGGAGAGGCCAGAGGAGGATGTTGGATCCCCTGGAACTGGTGTTACAGGTGGGTTTGAGCTACATGTGGGTGCTGGGAACCAAACCGGGGTCTTCTGTAAGAGCAACAAGTGTTCTTAACCACCAATCCCTCTCACCAGCCACCTGTTTGTTTTGTTTTTGTTTTTGTTTTAAGAAAATTGTTTATAGATTATTTTGTTCTTTTGTTCATGGATGGAATTGGGTTGTTAAAAGTCCTGCAGTGTTGTATTATGAGAGACCCTGCCAGCTTCTGTATGCTTTATGCAGTGTGCTGTAGAACACACAGTTGTTAGGCACTCTTCCTGAAGTGATCGCCCACCATTACATAATGAAGTCTTACGAGTCTTTTTCGACTT